TGCATGGACTTATTCTCCAAACTGAGATTTGAAAAACTGCTGAATTTATTTAAAAAATGACGATATACGGCGTAAAAATGTCAATAGAAAATGTTCTATTCAGTTGTTTTTGATGAATAATGTGCCAGGACTTCAAATATGTCGGCGCCTCCTCATGAATCATTATCTCAGTTTTGTTGCAAATAACTGAAAATCTGACAAAAAACTGACGGAGAACGTGGGTTTTTATGGCTTTGAAATCGTATAGAATCCAGGGCAGGTACTAAAAATATCCAAGGATCTCCCCTCTGTCTGCGAGCGCTCGGGTGTGTGTGCAAGTGTGTGTGTGCGAGTGTGTGTGTGCAGGTGTGTGTGTTGTGTGTGTGTGTGTCATGCATAAAACAGCAGTGTCTTGTTTTTCCCTCTAATAAATAAATTCACCGGAGAGCCTCTCACAATGAGGCTTCAGAGCTTCTGTGTGTGTGTGTGTTTGTTGTTATATTTGTGTGTGTGCATGTGTGTGTGTGTGTGTGTGTGTGTGTATGTGTGTGTGTGTGTGTGTGCTCACAGCTAGGCGTCGCAGCCTGCTGTCTTTTTGATGACTGAAGTTATTGAAGAATCCCTCCTGAGGTTTAAAGAGCTCAGAATAACACAGTGTTTTGGACGTTTATGTTCGACAAAAGTGATTAGTCTGAGTAAAGCTGGGGTACCTGACTCTTTAGCACTGGCCCTGTTTAATCAGGGCCAGGACCTTCCTCAGTCCCTCTTGGTCCTGGTTCTATCCAGGCCGAGCTGGTACCACAGTGTTCTAACTGACAGAGTGCTGCTGGGAGCCATGGTTACCAAGGAAATTCCCCACATCCTTGTGTGTTGTGGGTAGGTTGCTTGGATACAGTACCAGATACTAATGCGTAATGGAAACACAACCAGCAAGAGTGGATTAGGGCCGAGTAGGGCCGAGTAGGGCCATACATAGACTTGATATAAGGCCTACGGAATCATATTTTTATCTCTTTTATAAATATCTGTAAATCCTTTTGAACTGTACCAAAAACAACTAGCATGCACTGGTGTGCAATAGACAAGGTTATACAGGAGCCACATCCAGAGGACACTGTGAGGTTCTTAGGGACCAGAAAAGTACTGTGAGTCATTTCCCTGATTAAATATCTACAGATCAATGGTGGAGAATCATTTAAAACAGTGTCACAGACTTTATCCACAGTCTTGATGACGAGGGGAGTCAGACGGTTCATTCAGACACACAGGAACCTCAGTTCCCATAATTCAACTTGGGAACTTGCTCCTGCGGCGTAAACTCCACCCCTCGCCACTTTGATTTTCTTCTGCAGACGTCATTCCTCCACCTGTCTCTGCATTACATCCTACTTTTCAAAGCCCTGTTCTCCACAGCAGCCCTGACAGCCTTCCCCAGTCCCTGCATCTGTCTTTAAAGGAGAGAGGGCCACAGGGACTAAAGGAGAGAGGGCCACAGGGACTAAAGGAGAGAGGGCCACAGGGACTAAAGGAGAGAGGGCCACAGGGACTAAAGGAGAGAGGGCCACAGGGACTAAAAGAGAGAGGGCCACAGGGACTAAAGGAGAGAGGGCCACGGGGACTAAAGGAGAGAGGGCCACAGGGACTAAAGGAGAGAGGGCCACGGGGACTAAAGGAGAGAGGGCCACAGGGACTAAAAGAGAGAGGGCCACGGGGACTAAAAGAGAGAGGGCCACAGGGACTAAAAGAGAGAGGGCCACAGGGACTAGAGAGGGCCACAGGGACTAAAGGAGAGAGGGCCACAGGGACTAAAGGAGAGAGGGCCACAGGGACTAAAAGAGAGAGGGCCACAGGGACTAAAGGAGAGACGGCCACAGGGACTAAAGGAGAGAGAGCCACAGGGACTAGAGAGGGCCACCGGGACTAAAGGAGAGAGGGCCACAGGGACTAAAAGAGAGAGGGCCACAGGGACTAAAGGAGAGAGGGCCACAGGGACTAAAGGAGAGAGAGCCACAGGGACTAAAGGAGAGAGGGCCACAGGGACTAAAGGAGAGAGGGCCACGGGGACTAAAGGAGAGAGGGCCACAGGGACTAAAAGAGAGAGGGCCACGGGGACTAAAAGAGAGGGCCACAGGGACTAAAAGAGAGAGGGCCACAGGGACTAGAGAGGGCCACGGGGACTAGAGAGGGCCACAGGGACTAAAGGAGAGAGGGCCACGGGGACTAAAAGAGAGAGGGCCACAGGGACTAAAGGAGAGAGGGCCACGGGGACTAGAGAGGGCCACCGGGACTAAAGGAGAGAGGGCCACAGGGACTAAAAGAGAGAGGGCCACAGGGACTAAAGGAGAGAGGGCCACAGGGACTAAAGGAGAGAGAGCCACTGGGACTAAAGGAGAGAGGGCCACAGGGACTAAAGGAGAGAGGGCCACGGGGACTAAAGGAGAGAGGGCCACAGGGACTAAAAGAGAGAGGGCCACGGGGACTAAAAGAGAGGGCCACAGGGACTAAAAGAGAGAGGGCCACAGGGACTAGAGAGGGCCACGGGGACTAGAGAGGGCCACAGGGACTAAAGGAGAGAGGGCCACGGGGACTAAAAGAGAGAGGGCCACAGGGACTAAAGGAGAGAGGGCCACGGGGACTAGAGAGGGCCACAGGGACTAAAGGAGAGAGGGCCACAGGGACTAAAAGAGAGAGGGCCACAGGAACTAAAGGAGAGAGGGCCACGGGGACTAAAAGAGAGAGGGCCACAGGGACTAAAAGAGAGAGGGCCACAGGGACTAAAGGAGAGAGGGCCACGGGGACTAGAGAGGGCCACAGGGACTAAAGGAGAGAGGGCCACAGGGACTAAAAGAGAGAGGGCCACAGTGACTAAAGGACAGAGGGCCACAGGGACTAAAGGAGAGAGGGCCACAGGGACTAAAGGAGAGAGGGTCACGGGGACTAAACCAGGGCCCTTTAATGATGACCAACTAGGGCCCTTTAATGATGACAAACTAGGGCCCTTTAATGATGGCCGATTAGGGCCCTTTAATGATGACCAACTAGGGCCCTTTAATGATGACAAACTAGGGCCCTTTAATGATGACCAACTAGGGCCCTTATTTTGGTTGAGGGCCGAATAAAAAAGGAAAGGGCTGGTCCGGGGCCGAAAGAATAGATTCGTTTCATTAATTATACTTTTTTATAATATGAAGGTAAATAAATGACTTGTTTCACATTAGTTAGATTGGATATTCTTTTCTGATTAGAATTAGCTCAGCTCCTGTGGACTGGACCAAAACTGAACCAAATATTGAGATATATAGGAAGATTTTGTCGCATGGCGCCGTAAAGATAGCGCCGTAAAGATGGCGCCGTGGCAAGAGCTCTGGTGTGTGTCGTCTGGTGCACACTGGGGTAGTCTTGCACAGTTTTTCCAATGTGGTTTTACTGCAAATGGCAAATAAATGAATCTGAATCTGAATCTGATTTTCTACTTCCGGGTGGATGATAATTGGTCCTCCCACTTGTCAATCATTCTTGTGATTCGTTCTCGGCAAAAAAGATCAGATAGTTTTGTTCAAAAAGCGGTTCTTTCCCATGAAAATTGTGAAATCTTCCTTCATAATTTTAAGAAGAAATATAATTGAAGACTAAAAAAACACATAAAAAACATAACGTAACAAAACTAACTTCTAATTACATGTTGGCTTCACATTTCTTATGGAATTAAATGTTATGGTTGTTTTGTTGAGAATATTAGAAGTGAATAACATGTCATTGTCCCCTATTACCCCCGGGCCTTGACTTTGACACCTATGCTATAGTCCAGTGTCTCCCAAAGTCGGGTCCGCGGCCCCCTGGTGGGCCGCGAGGGTACTGCAGGGGGGCAGCGGGAGGTCATAAAAAAAATAATATAATTATTTAATGTTAAATTTATAATGTTTTGTTTGTAATTTTAAAATATTTGTGTTCATTATTTGACTTGAATAATCCACTGTAATCATTTTTGTATTACAATGTTTGTAGCAGAGGCTATTTCCCCAAAATAAAATAACCAGAAGAGCCTATTCTTAATGTTGTCTTCTTGGTTATTATTTTGGGGGGCCACGCAGACCCGTCAGATTTTTAAGGGGGCCTCGGTGTTACTGAGTTTGGGAATGGCTGCTATAGTCTATTCACACAGGATCAGTAACTAGTAACTGCCCCACCTCTGTTTTACCTGCAGCACATTCACACGAGACAAGATCAGTTACTACTACTCACGTTAAAGCATGCATGAACAAATAATGGGTTTTTTACCACCGGCTGCTAAACATCCAAGCTAACATCCTGCCAAAATTGTCTTCTTGGATCTCTTAAGGGTCCTGCAGATATGTTTCCATTCTATGCGGTAGGGGGCCGGATTATAGTTTGCTGCTAAAAAGCTTTGAAACTGTGAATCAACATTAACCCTAACCCTAACCCTAACCCTAACCCAACATTACCACCACAGCCTCCATTGTACGAGCTGTGAGGATACATGAAAAGGATCAGTATCATCACCGGACGTCTGTGGTCGGTCAAATACAGGAAGTCATTTGCGGCAGAATTTTACTTTACAAATTACAGACATGTCGTGTTCGCACAGGACTCTGATCTCAAGCATCCTCCGCAATTTGCCACAAATCACCAGAAGTCCACAGGCTATACTAATCTAACCGTGCGAATAGGACTTATGGCACTAAGAACCAGGACCAGGCCGCAAGTATTACAGATTCTGAAACATGGAGCCTGAGTCCTGGATCTACAGCCTGTTCGCCCGTGGAGATCTAACATAAGGACTTTGGTGATGGTCCTGGACACTCAAGATTCAATTACATTTATGGACCTCTGCCCCAAATGGACCAATACCACAGAATGAGCTGATTTGAGTGAGACATGCTCAGTTGGAGTTTTCCCATGGCACAAAGAGACGGTTTTGCCTCACAGCAGCTCAGATCAGATCCCTGCAGAAGAGAGCGTTGAGGGTGGCAGACCGTGGGGACGGCCGTAGCTGGAGGCAGATGGCGGTGGGATGGTGCACACATAATTCCTTAGTCATCTTCTTAATGAAGACCACTGAGCTGTGAGTCCGACTGCCACCAGGCACGAGCTGAGAGCATATCACAGAGAAGCCCTCATCTGCTTGTGGCATGTTCCAATCACATACAACATGGAAGAGACACAACATGACTTCCACTCAAAAGCACTGGCTGGAGGCGAAGCTTTGGATGATTCTCTGTGACGCCAGATCAGAGCCTCTGTTTTAGCCGTTAGCTCAAGTAAAGTACGCAAGAATCTTTGGAGAACAAGAACCACGTGGATCCGCCAAAACATGCTGTGTCTGTTAGAACCAACCAGGACTAAGAGTTTTCAAAACGCCAGACTCTATCTGACAGACTCTATCAGACAGACTCTATCTGACAGACTCTATCTGACAGACTCTATCTGACAGACTCTATCTGACAGACTCTATCTGACAGACTCTATCAGACAGACTCTATCTGACAGACTCTATCTGACAGACTCAGATAGAGTAACTAGCAGAGTTGATGTCCTGGTGATACTATGGCATGTTGTACTTAGGAAAACAACCGTATCATCTGTTCTAAAATGTTAGCCTCGTTCTACAGCAGTCAGTTCTACAGCCTGTCAGTTCTACAGCAGTCAGTTCTACAGCAGTCAGTTCTACAGCAGTCAGTTCTACAGCCTGTCAGTTCTACAGCAGTCAGTTCTACAGCAGTCAGTTCTACAGCCTGTCAGTTCTACAGCCTGTCAGTTCTACAGCCTGTCAGTTCTACAGCAGTCAGTTCTACAGCCTGTCAGTTCTACAGCAGTCAGTTCTACAGCAGTCAGTTCTACAGCAGTCAGTTCTACAGCAGTCAGTTCTACAGAAGTCAGTTCTACAGCAGTCAGTTCTAGCAGTCAGTTCTACAGCAGTCAGTTCTACAGCAGTCAGTTCTACAGCAGTCAGTTCTACAGAAGTCAGTTCTACAGCCTGTCAGTTCTACAGCAGTCAGTTCTACAGCAGTCAGTTCTACAGCCTGTCAGTTCTACAGCAGTCAGTTCTACAGCCTGTCAGTTCTACAGCAGTCAGTTCTACAGCCTGTCAGTTCTACAGCAGTCAGTTCTACAGCAGTCAGTTCTACAGCAGTCAGTTCTACAGAAGTCAGTTCTACAGCAGTCAGTTCTACAGCCTGTCAGTTCTACAGCAGTCAGTTCTACAGCAGTCAGTTCTACAGCAGTCAGTTCTACAGCAGTCAGTTCTACAGCCTGTCAGTTCTACAGCAGTCAGTTCTACAGCAGTCAGTTCTACAGCAGTCAGTTCTACAGCCTGTCAGTTCTACAGCAGTCAGTTCTACAGCAGTCAGTTCTACAGCAGTCAGTTCTACAGCAGTCAGTTCTACAGCAGTCGGTTCTACAGCAGTCAGTTCTACAGCAGTCAGTTCTACAGCAGTCAGTTCTACAGCCTGTCAGTTCTACAGCAGTCAGTTCTACAGCCTGTCAGTTCTACAGCAGTCAGTTCTACAGCCTGTCAGTTCTACAGCAGTCAGTTCTACAGTAGTCAGTTCTACAGCAGTCAGTTCTACAGCAGTCAGTTCTAGCAGTCAGTTCTACAGCAGTCAGTTCTACAGCAGTCAGTTCTACAGAAGTCAGTTCTACAGCAGTCAGTTCTACAGCCTGTCAGTTCTACAGCAGTCAGTTCTACAGCAGTCAGTTCTACAGCCTGTCAGTTCTACAGCAGTCAGTTCTACAGCCTGTCAGTTCTACAGCCTGTCAGTTCTACAGCAGTCAGTTCTACAGCCTGTCAGTTCTACAGCAGTCAGTTCTACAGCAGTCAGTTCTACAGCAGTCAGTTCTACAGCAGTCAGTTCTACAGCAGTCAGTTCTACAGCAGTCAGTTCTACAGAAGTCAGTTCTACAGCAGTCAGTTCTACAGCCTGTCAGTTCTACAGAAGTCAGTTCTACAGCCTGTCAGTTCTACAGCAGTCAGTTCTACAGCAGTCAGTTCTACAGCAGTCAGTTCTACAGCAGTCAGTTCTACAGCAGTCAGTTCTACAGCCTGTCAGTTCTACAGCAGTCAGTTCTACAGCCTGTCAGTTCTACAGCAGTCAGTTCTACAGCAGTCAGTTCTACAGCAGTCAGTTCTACAGCAGTCAGTTCTACAGCAGTCAGTTCTACAGAAGTCAGTTCTACAGCAGTCAGTTCTACAGCCTGTCAGTTCTACAGCAGTCAGTTCTACAGCCTGTCAGTTCTACAGCAGTCAGTTCTACAGCAGTCAGTTCTACAGCAGTCAGTTCTACAGCCTGTCAGTTCTACAGCAGTCAGTTCTACAGCCTGTCAGTTCTACAGCAGTCAGTTCTACAGCAGTCAGTTCTACAGAAGTCAGTTCTACAGCAGTCAGTTCTACAGCCTGTCAGTTCTACAGCAGTCAGTTCTACAGCAGTCAGTTCTACAGCAGTCAGTTCTACAGCAGTCAGTTCTACAGCAGTCAGTTCTACAGCAGTCAGTTCTACAGAAGTCAGTTCTACAGCAGTCAGTTCTACAGCCTGTCAGTTCTACAGCAGTCAGTTCTACAGCCTGTCAGTTCTACAGCAGTCAGTTCTACAGCCTGTCAGTTCTACAGGAGTCAGTTCTACAGCCTGTCAGTTCGTGAGAGCGGATCCTTCTCTAAACGGGGGCCCCTGAGGTGCTTTGAGTGGTTCCTCATCGATGCAGGAGGGTCTAAAGACACTGATGATCCCAGACATTTCCTATGGTTCCTATGGAGATGAACCACCTCCTCAACAGATGACCAAGGAGAAGGCTTCAGTCTTTTGGAGCGCACTCCTGAAGACCTCCTCTGACTCTGTGCAGTCCAGGAGGTCCAGCTCGTTCTGGTCTGTCTCCTGAACACAGAGCAGCAGGTGGAGCAGAGGAAAGTCCTGGACCAGCTGAGATAACAGACGTTAAAAGGAAAAAAAAAAGCGTGTTTGGAGCTCAGGCCTTCATCAGGGCAGATCTTTTGTAAAAACAACACCTGCACATGTGTATATTACCTTATCTGTAGTTCCTGTTGTCATCTATAGCGTGAATTAATTGAACTTTGATGAAAAACTGGACAAACAAAAGACTGAACTAATTAAGGATAAAGCCTTAATGGACTTGTATATAATCTTAACCCTTTACCTTTTACTCTTAATTGCACCTTGAGCCAAAGAAAATTCCTATTTTGTGACTTCCTTTTACTTCCAACTCCAAAAAAAAAAATACATCACTGGCTTAACTAACAACATTACACAAAAACTCTTATAAACGATCCATTCTATAATTATCCATCATGTCTGAAAAATGTACCATTGCTCTTGGAAAACTGTAAATAATCTCAGTGCCGGAGCTGAAAGGTCCCATATGCTCGTGTGTCTAAATTAGCACCATAGCTGCCAGGACATGTTTGCTGCTAAAGTAGTTTGACAGCTAACGGCTAACTCACATGTCCGTCCGGCCCCAGAAGGAGGCCTCCAGCGGCCCAGGCCAAGGACGCACATCGCTTCACTGGACACTTCCCTGGCTCCTCGCCCGGGAGCCTGACCACAGCTACAGCTCTGGTCTTCATGGCGGCCGAGCAGAGCGCGTGCATGGAGGAGGAGCCCCGGGGGTCTCTGGTGCTGCGGTCCTGGGCTGGTGATGAGGCGGATGAAGGGCTGGGCGGTCCACTGACAACCTGCCCACTGTGTGAAGGGATGCATGATGACCCAGGCCTTCTCCAGCAGATACAGGAGCTGGCCCAAAGTTCACCACTGCCACTGTTCCGAGCTGAGGGCTGGTAAAGAAGACTGATCTGTGGACCATGTCTTTGCCTCTGTATCTACATTTATCATTTACCATTCCACAAATATAGAAACATCTACAAGTTTAGAGATGGGTGCAAAAACTAAATAAAATGATTGTGTTTAAGTGGACCCTGGGCCAGCGCTTTGTACAGCCTCAAATATTTGTGACCATCTGATGATGATGATGATGATGATGATGATGCTAGATTATTCCCAGGAGGCTCTAAAGCTCAAACACAGACAGAGGACGCTAAAAATAATAATAATAATGGTTCCATGCGGCTCTTTTGTTGGTTCCATGCGGCTCTTTGGTTGGTTCCATGCGGCTCTTTGGTTGGTTCCATGCGGCTCTTTGGTTGGTTCCATGCGGCTCTTTGGCTGGTTCCATGCGGCTCTTTGGCTGGTTCCATGCGGCTCTTTGGTTGGTTCCATGCGGCTGTTTGGTTGGTTCCATGCGGCTCTTTGGCTGGTTCCATGCGGCTCTTTGGCTGGTTCCATGCGGCTCTTTGGTTGGTTCCATGCGGCTGTTTGGTTGGTTCCATGCGGCTCTTTGGCTGGTTCCATGCAGCTCTTTGGCTGGTTCCATGCGGCTGTTTGGTTGGTTCCATGCGGCTCTTTGGCTGGTTCCATGCGGCTGTTTGGTTGGTTCCATGCGGCTCTTTGGCTGGTTCCATGCGGCTGTTTGGTTGGTTCCATGCGGCTGTTTGGTTGGTTCCATGCGGCTCTTTGGTTGGTTCCATGCGGCTGTTTGGTTGGTTCCATGCGGCTGTTTGGTTGGTTCCATGCGGCTCTTTGGCTGGTTCCATGCGGCTCTTTGGCTGGTTCCATGCGGCTCTTTGGCTGGTTCCATGCGGCTCTTTGGTTGGTTCCATGTGGCTCTCGGGCTTTCACAAGCGTCGAAAAACGGCTCGGCGGTGACGCTGGCATTCTTTCCCTATGTGTTTCTGACCTGAATAGTAACGGCTGACTTGACTCTACTAGCCGGGCCAAGTAGATACCTAAACAATCTGACGTCGGCAAACTCTGCACCTCGGCGGATTGAGCTGCAGTTTATGGGTGCAAAGGAAAATTAAAAAATTCCCAGATCAGCGGCCGATACTGATACTGATACTGATACTGATACTGATATTGATATTGATATTGATATTGATATTGATATTGATATTGATAAAGGCATCACTAATAATAACATGGTTAAAATCTCGCCACAGTCAGAGTTTCAAAGCCACAGCAGATGCACAAAACCAGGTCCTTACTACATTAATTACATTTGGCGGCACGGTGGCTGAGTGGATAGCACTCTCGCCTCTCAGCAAGAAGGTCCTGGGTTCGAATCCTGGCCGGACCAGGGCCTTTCTGAGTGGAGTTTGCATGTTCTCCCCATGTCTGCGTAGGTTTCCTCCGGGTACTCCGGTTTCCCCTACCACTAAAAATATGTACAATAGTTCTGGCATGTGCCTCCTGTACTGGCCCCACTCCCATCTCTGTGTGGAGTGAGAGACAAATGCCCAAAAAATAACAATTGTAAACCGCTTTGTGACTCTGGTCTGTGAAAGGCGGTATATAAATAAAGATTACTTACTATTAAAACATGGCCTAAAAATACAGTATCCTCAGAGTAGGAAAAGCAGCAGTGTGGGTGTGCAGGAGGAGGATTTAAGGATTTACCTAATCCCTGTATAACTGTAATGGTTTTCATGTTCTGCGTTTAGCTAGTTTCAGAAAAAGACCAACGGAAGTTTAATATAGAAACATGTTTAATCTCCCTGTAAAAACTAATGAGGCGTGAAACGTGATCCTCGATTGTGTCGTCTTAAAGGTGATGTTTGTTTGAACATCTGAAGACTCACACTGATGGAAATGTATGAGTTTAATGTTATCTACAAGTGACGTCTGTGCTGCAGAAACCCAGTGAACCAGACACGAAACAGTCTCCTGTGGCACAAAGTGGTTTCTGTAGATGTGACACTGATGTGTGGATATTGGGCCTCATTCACGAACGGTTCTTAGGAACAGATTTGTACGTAAATCCTACTTACGCGGTTTTTACGAAGAAAGTGGCATTCACGAATATTTCTCGTAACCAGAATTTCTCTTGGGCAAGTACAAATCCTACGAGTCCTCAGGAGCACTCGTACGCATTCAGTGCCGACATGTTCACACGCCGGGGTTGTCCTCTTTGGTGAAGTTGAATAAAAATACAACATTCCAGTGATATGTCCGTCATATTGATGTATGTATTTATTTATTTGTAGTAATCTTTATTAGTAATCTTTATTTATATACCGCCTTTTTCACTGCAGATCTGGCCTACTTTTTAATTCATTTTGAAATGAAATGTGCCAACGCTTTATCAAATACATTGGAAATCTTGCCGTGTATTAGTGACCCCTTCCTATTTATAGGGGGCATTTCTTTATCCACGGGCCACAGAACAACGGCATATATACTGCTGCTGCAGGAGGTTACTGGGTCCGCGCTGAGTCTCTGCGCTGGTCTCTCCTATGGATCTATACGGGTCTGCACTGGTCTCTCCCATGGATCTATACGGGTCTGCGCTGGTGTCTCCCATGGATCTATACGGGTCCGCGCTGGTCTCTCAAGTCTGGTCTATGCGGTCTCTCTTCGGTCCGCGCTGGTCTCTGCGCACCGGTCTCTCCAGTCAGGTGTCTCCAGTCTATGCGGTCTTTCCTGTCCGCGCTGGTTTCTGTGTGCTGGTCACTCCAGTCTCTCCTCGGGTCTGCATTGGTCTCAGCGCTGGTCCGCGCTGGATCTCCTCCCAGGGTCCAAAATATTTTGAGATAAATCTCAAAACATTTTGAGATTCATCTTTAAAATAATACATAATATATTTTTAAATTAAGCTCATAACATTTTGAGATTAATCTCATCATATTCTTAGATTAATCTCATAATTTTGCTAGTTCGACTTTATAATCATAATATTTCGACTTTTAAGTCAACATTTTATAACTTTATTCTCAGTCTGGCAAAAGCCTGCTTTAGGCCTGTTGCTGTTTCCTCTGGCGTCTGCACACGGCCCTGCAGTCCCTTATATGGGCATTAGTGGGCGGTTACTTATGCTAAGTACCTATGGTAATGAAGCACCGGGCACGCGCGCTGTACTTACGAGGAAATGGGATTCATCAATCTGAGAGAACAGCTGCGAACAATTCAGCGGCTTACGAGTGCGTTGATGAATCCCACGTGGGGACTTCTTAGAAATCTACTTAAGGACAACTTGAGAAGAAAGTTGAGTAGTTTCTTACGAAGTTATTCGTGAATGAGGCCCATTGTCCTTCAGAGAGAGGAGACCAGGACAGACACAGGGAAGATCTGTGTCTCTGTGAATCCAGACATGAGCCATGAAAGGATTGACCAATCAGATGCCTTGGTTGGCAACTCCAGCTTGCCTTAGCAACCATCTTAGCAACGCGTCTGCCCCTGTAACAGTGCAAAGCTAACACCGTCCACTCTTAGAATATTCTTTTCCTTTTATTTCAACAGAGCAAATAATGTCAAACTCGTGATTCAGTCTTTCCTCAAACTGCCTTCATGACAGCCTACCAGTGCACAGTGGCTGAGTGGTTAGCACTGGGACAGCCCTGGGTTTGAATCCACTTTCAGACAGAGCCTTTCCAGGTGGAGGTTTTCTCCAGGTGCTCCAGTTTCCCATACCACTTAAAAACATGTGCAATTACTCTGCTCTCTCTGGGGCCTGGATTCCCCTGAAAGAGAGATTCTCAAACCTCAGTGAGGTTTTTCTGATTAAATAAGGTTAAATAAACCGTATTGTCATAACATTGATATCTTACAAATGTCTGATATAGAAGAACAAATCACTTTATTCTCCTGAGAAAACAAGATGAACCTTTCTAAAACACATCATAATCATTTCTTTAAAGTATAGTCCTGTGGCAGAGTAGTTCATAGCATTATATTAAAATGTCATCGACCAACAGCAGAATGTTTTTGTCATTAGGAGAAGATTCACTTCATGAACCCAATAAATGTTGTTTTTATGGAACGATCGGAATTTTTATATTTACCACAGAAGACACCTGTGTGTGTGTGTGTGTCTGTGTGTGTGTGTGTGTCTGTGTGTGTGTGTTCCCTCCATCAGAGAGAGAGGATGAAGAGGCAGTGTGAGGCGGAGGAAGCAGCCAATACTTTAACAATAGAAAAACACTACACAGACAGACAGACAGACAGACAGACAAGAATTGTAAAACAGAAACACGTTTCAGGACTCGCTGCTGTTTACAGAACATTCAAAAGTAAACACTGAGGTCTATGTGGATCCAGGCTGCAGTACCGCAGGTGGCCCCTTGACCATGTGGAGACGGGTTTAAGTACATCCATGGTGGATTAGTGCAGCACATTTACTGTCACAGAAAAACAAGCAAACAGCAGTGTTAGCCTGTTAGCCTGTTAGCCTGCTAGCCTGTTAGCCGGGAGCAGATTGCACGGTTCAGTCATGCAGAAGCTCCACCACTCAGTGGCCTCTCTGTAACTGTACGTGAGCATGTGTGTGTCGGAGGTTGTGCCGCGAGCCACGGCAGGAAGTGGGACAAGACGGAGAAAGAAGAACAGCAGCCCACATCCTTTAGTCACAGCTCAGGCAGAAAACACTCCGGCTCCTTCAGATGTGCATTAGTGTTGTTCTGAAAGCAGCGACAGAACACACCAGCCTCATAGAGCACCACACGGAGTTACACACATAGTTACACACAAAGGTACACACTGGGGTTGAAGCAGGCTGGAATTAGAGTCAAAAACTGTGATAACAATGTATTTTGAGACATTTTCTTTCCCAAATGTGTATAAACCATGATATTTGCAGAATACTTTCTCCTGAAGCTAAAGTCTTATGTTTTGGAGCTGCAGCTTCTTTAGGGACTAGTTTCTGCTGCTGTCATTTTCACTCATCTCTTTCCTGTGAAGTAGTGTTTGGTTCTTCAGAGTCAGAGTCCTGGGCCTCGCTCTGGGCTAACGGCAGCACATTAAAGGGGCAGTTACGGTCACTTGATTCGTCAACGTAATAAAAAGCTCAGGCCTGAAAGAAACAAATTCCAAATGTCTCTTTTAATTCTCATTCAGACACATTGACATCTTTTGAAAAGGAGGATTTAGTTCTGGGCCGTCTAAACTTTTTTAGGAAGAGGACTCAAGTTCAGCAGACTCACTCCAAAAACATTGATGATAAACTACTACTGTAGCCACAGCTGCCCTGGGGCACACTGATAGAAGCGAGGCAACCAGTCTGTGCCATCAGCCCCTCCCACCACCACCAACCACTCACGCACACACCAGACTCATTCTAATGTGGGGGAAGTGTCTTGCCAAAGGACACAACCACAGTTTGGCACTTTACAGCCGCAGCCGCCCCACTGTGGCACCTGCTGTTCCCAGAGGTCTCCCATCACAGCACTGACCAGTAACTTTAGAACACTGCTAACTTCGGAGAATGAAGAACGGTCCAATCATAAGAGTTCTGGTCGACAGTGAAGCGGGTCAGACACAAATTTATAACTTTTTATGAATGGACACAACAAGAGTCTGTTGTAGTGAGGCAAATGCTGGTCATAATTGTGTGAGCGGGAGGGGGGAGGAAGGGGAGGAGGGGAGAGGGGAGGGGGGAGGAAGAGGGAGAGGGAGAGGAGAGGGGGGAGGAAGAGGGAGAGGGGAGGAAGAGGGGAGGGGAGAGGGGCTGATGTGCAGAGACATAAAAGAAGCAGCCCCGGGAGGCCTGCCTCAGAAACAGTCCAGTCTACTCCTGCTTTCACTAAACTCCAGCTTTAATGCTTCAAGATCGCAATTACCAGAGACCTCCGCGGGAGACCTCAGCAAGGAGACCTGCGCAGGGAGACCTCGGCAAGGAGACCTCAGCAAGGAGACCTGAGCGGGGAGACCTCGGCAAGGAGACCTCAGCAAGGAGACCTGAGCAGGGAGACCTCAGCAAGGAGACCTGAGCAGGGAGACCTCAGCAAGGAGACCTGAGCAGGGAGACCTCAGCAAGGAGACCTGAGCGGGGAGACCTCAGCAAGGAGACCTGAGCAGGGAGACCTCGGCAAGGAGACCTCAGCAAGGAGACCTGAGCAGGGAGACCTCAGCAAGGAGACCTGAGCAGGGAGACCTCGGCAAGGAGACCTCAGCAAGGAGACCTGAGCAGGGAGACCTCAGCAAGGAGACCTGCGCAGGGAGACCTCGGCAAGGAGACCTCAGCAAGGAGACCTCAGCAAGGAGACCTCAGCAAGGAGACCTGAGCAGGGAGACCTCGGCAAGAAGACCTCAGCAAGGAGACCTGAGCAGGAAGACCTCGGCAAGGAGACCTGAGCAGGGAGACCTCAGACAGGAGACCTGAGCGGGGAGACCTCAGCAAGGAGACCTGAGCGGGGAGACCTCGGCAAGGAGACCTCAGCAAGGAGACCTGAGCAGGGAGACCTCAGCAAGGAGACCTGAGCAGGGAGACCTTAGCAAGGAGACCTGAGCAGGGAGACCTCAGCAAGGAGACCTGAGCGGGGAGACCTCAGCAAGGAGACCTGAGCAGGGAGACCTCGGCAAGGAGACCTCAGCAAGGAGACCTGAGCAGGGAGACCTCAGCAAGGAGACCTGAGCGGGGAGACCTCGGCAAGAAGACCTCAGCAAGGAGACCTGAGCAGGGAGACCTCGGCAAGAAGACCTCAGCAAGGAGACCTGAGCAAGGAGACCTCGGCAAGGAGACCTGAGCAGGGAGACCTCAGCAAGGAGACCTGAGCAGGGAGACCTCAGCAAGGAGACCTGAGCAGGGAGACCTCAGCAAGGAGACCTCAGCAAGGAGACCTCAGCAAGGAGACCTGAGCAGGGAGACCTCAGCAAGGAGACCTGAGCAGGGAGACCTCAGCAAGGAGACCTGAGCAGGGAGACCTCAGCAAGGAGACCTGAGCAGGGAGACCTCAGCAAGGAGACCTGAGCAGGGAGACCTCAGCAAGGAGACCTGAGCAGGGAGACCTCAGCAAGGAGACCTGAGCGGGGAGACCTCAGCAAGGAGACCTGAGCAGGGAGACCTCGGCAAGGAGACCTCAGCAAGGAGACCTGAGCAGGGAGACCTCAGCAAGGAGACCTGAGCAGGGAGACCTCAGCAAGGAGACCTGAGCGGGGAGACCTCAGCAAGGAGACCTGAGCAGGGAGACCTCAGCAAGGAGACCTGAGCGGGGAGACCTCAGCAAGGAGACCTGAGCAGGGAGACCTCGGCAAGGAGACCTCAGCAAGGAGACCTGAGCAGGGAGACCTCAGCAAGGAGACCTGAGCGGGGAGACCTCAGCAAGGAGACCTGAGCGGGGAGACCTCAGCAAGGAGACCTGAGGGGGGAGACCTCAGTAAGGAGACCTAGGCGGGGAGACCTCGGCAAGGAGACCTGAGCAGGGAGACCTAAGCAAGGAGACCTGAGCGGGGAGACCTGAGCGGGGAGACCTGAGCGGGGCAACCTGAGCGGGGAGACCTGAGCGGGGAGACCTCAGCAAGGAGACCTGAGCAGGGAGACCTCAGCAAGGAGACCTGAGCAGGGAGACCTCGGCAAGGAGACCTGAGCAGGGAGACCTCAGCAAGGAGACCTGAGCGGGGAGACCTCAGCAAGGAGACCTGAGCGGGGAGACCTGAGCGGGGAGACCTGAGGGGGGAGACCTCAGTAAGGAGACCTGAGCGGGGAAACCTGAGCAGGGAGACCTCAGACAGGAGACCTGAGCGGGGAGACCTCAGCAAGGAGACCTGAGCGGGGAGACCTCGGCAAGGAGACCTCAGCAAGAGGAGACCTGAGCAGGGAGACCTCAGCAAGGAGACCTGAGCAGGGAGACCTTAGCAAGGAGACCTGAGCAGGGAGACCTCAGCAAGGAGACCTGAGCGGGGAGACCTCAGCAAGGAGACCTGAGCAGGGAGACCTCGGCAAGGAGACCTCAGCAAGGAGACCTGAGCAGGGAGACCTCAGCAAGGAGACCTGAGCGGGGAGACCTCGGCAAGAAGACCTCAGCAAGGAGACCTGAGCAGGGAGACCTCGGCAAGAAGACCTCAGCAAGGAGACCTGAGCAAGGAGACCTCGGCAAGGAGACCTGAGCAGGGAGACCTCAGCAAGGAGACCTGAGCAGGGAGACCTCAGCAAGGAGACCTGAGCAGGGAGACCTCAGCAAGGAGACCTCAGCAAGGAGACCTCAGCAAGGAGACCTGAGCAGGGAGACCTCAGCAAGGAGACCTGAGCAGGGAGACCTCAGCAAGGAGACCTGAGCAGGGAGACCTCAGCAAGGAGACCTGAGCAGGGAGACCTCAGCAAGGAGACCTGAGCAGGGAGACCTCAGCAAGGAGACCTGAGCAGGGAGACCTCAGCAAGGAGACCTGAGCGGGGAGACCTCAGCAAGGAGACCTGAGCAGGGAGACCTCGGCAAGGAGACCTCAGCAAGGAGACCTGAGCAGGGAGACCTCAGCAAGGAGACCTGAGCAGGGAGACCTCAGCAAGGAGACCTGAGCGGGGAGACCTCAGCAAGGAGACCTGAGCAGGGAGACCTCAGCAAGGAGACCTGAGCGGGGAGACCTCAGCAAGGAGACCTGAGCAGGGAGACCTCGGCAAGGAGACCTCAGCAAGGAGACCTGAGCAGGGAGACCTCAGCAAGGAGACCTGAGCGGGGAGACCTCAGCAAGGAGACCTGAGCGGGGAGACCTCAGCAAGGAGACCTGAGGGGGGAGACCTCAGTAAGGAGACCTAGGCGGGGAGACCTCGGCAAGGAGACCTGAGCAGGGAGACCTAAGCAAGGAGACCTGAGCGGGGAGACCTGAGCGGGGAGACCTGAGCGGGGCGACCTGAGCGGGGAGACCTGAGCGGGGAGACCTCAGCAAGGAGACCTGAGCAGGGAGACCTCGGCAAGGAGACCTGAGCAGGGAGACCTCAGCAAGGAGACCTGAGCGGGGAGACCTCAGCAAGGAGACCTGAGCGGGGAGACCTGAGCGGGGAGACCTGAGGGGGGAGACCTCAGTAAGGAGACCTGAGCGGGGAAACCTGAGGGGGGAGACCTCAGCAAGGAGATCTGAGCGGGGAAACCTGAGGGGGGAGACCTCAGCAAGGAGATCTGAGCGGGGAGACCTCTGTGGGGAGACCGCAGCGTTGAGACCTCTGCGGAGACCTAGGCAAGGAGACGTCAGTAAGGAGACCTGAGCGGGGAGACCTCTGCGGAGACCTCAGCAAAGAGACCTCAGCAAGGAGACCTCCGCGGGGAGACCCTCTAATCGACTCAGGATAGATTCCGATGGCTCCGCTCAAAACCCAATGAAAGAGAAACATTTGCAGATTTAGCAAAAAGAAAAAATCTGGAAACCAAGAAAGTGCAGAGGGTTCATTCTCCTTGAAAATGGGAATTGAAAACCTAGGCTTGTTACACCCCTCGACTCGTGGAGCCAGTATGTCATCTTCTCCAAAGTTCTTGATGATGGGCGTGTAAATGCTCCAAAGAAGCAACACGAACCGAACGCACGGAGAATGGCTCAAACGGTCTACCGGGGCTGTTCAACTCTTCTCTGCATTATCCTACTTCTATGCGGAGATATTCAAGTAAACCCAGGGCCCACGGATCTACAACAATCGCTGCAGGTGGCGGAGACCGCTCTGATCCACACCCCGCACACTTTCAACACTGCGCAGATACTACCGGCTACTATTGCCAACAGTGCGCCAACGATGCGCGCATCCACGTTTACTACACTGCAACAAGGTAACCTCCTGGCACAACACTCGCTTAAACTAGCAAATGAAAGCGGCAAATCAAACGCTATGCAAACTATAGCTGTCTCCAAACAAAGCCAGATGAAACTATTTCAGACAGTAAACCATGCGTCGGTCCTATGGAACCCGCTGACAAAGCCGAAAGGAATTTTCGGAGGACATATTAACATACGCAGCGTAATGTCTAAAACGGAACAGTTGGAACATCTACTGTTGGGGTCAAATCTACATTACCTGTGTCTTTCCGAAACTTGGATTACAGCTACAACTCCTGTATCGGCATTCATGATTCCTGGATTTAAAGTATACAGACGGGACAGAGGAAAGGGAAAAGGGGGCGGGGTCTTGATCTACGTAAAAGACAGTATTGACAGTCACCAAATAGACATTCCGGATCAAACTATAGAGTGTGTTGGTGTTACAATTAAATTATCGCCCCAAATGTCATTTAATGTACTTTGTGTATATAGACCACCAAATGCAACAAGTGAATTCTATACTGGTTTAACAAAAATTCTAAAAACTTATGAACGAAAGGAAATATTGCTCATGGGTGACCTCAATATAAATTGGCTTGATAAAGGCAAGAGGAAACACCTAAAAGACATTGCAAACTCAATACAAATGACACAACTGATTAAAAAGCCAACTAGAATAACAAAAACTTCTCAAACTTTGATAGATTTAATATTTACCAATAAACCAGACAGGGTAATTAAAACATACAATCTAATAACTGGACTGTCTGATCACAATCTTGTTCTAATAGCCAGGAAATTAAATAAATCAAGATACATAAATAAAGAACAATCAAACAAACAATGCAAAATTCCTCATATTTCTAAAAGAAATCAAGAGCTCCTTAAAAATGATTTAAATGAAATCGACTGGACCTCCAAAATTGATAGTGAAAGCTGTGGTCATACATGCGACAATATTATAACTGCTATAAAGGATAAAATTTATAGATATACACAGCTCAAACATAGAAAATCAAATAAAAAGAGGCTTCCATGGTTTAATAAATCTCTCTGGGACACAATGAAACATAGAGATAAAGCTCTCAAGGTTTCATTAAAAAGTAAACTAACCACTGATCATTACATCTATAAATCTATGAGAAATAAAGTTACCATGCTGCTTCGAAAAGCAAAAGCAAATTTTTTTCTTGACTTAATCAAAGAGGCAAGGTAATTGTAAAAATCTGTGGAGGAGCATGGATAAACTATTGGGAAGGAAAAAAATATATCCGGAGCACTTACAGCTCAAAATTAATGGAATAGTTCAAAATGAGGGCTCTATTCTGGCTAAACATTTCAATGATTATTTCTTGGATTCTGTGGTAGACCTGGCAGAGGCTTTTTCTGAAGTAAACTGCTGCAGAGATGATCTTGGGGATGGAAATGCCCTCTGCAACCTACAGTCTCGCTGTAGGTTGCAGAGTATAGAGGAAGACAATATTTCCAAAATAATAGCAAATTTAAAAAATAGTAAAGCAAAGGATATTTTTGGACTTGATACATTTCTTTTAAAAGAACACAAAATGATTCTAACTCCAGTACTAACAATAGCTGTGAATCAGTCTATAAATGAAAACAATTTTCCTTTGGCGCTGAAAAAAAGCAGTAGTCAAGCCGATCTTCAAGTCAGGAGACAAGCTCTGTGTGTCAAACTATCGACCTATTAGTATCCTACCAGCCATCTCCAAGGTCTTTGAGAAGGTGGTGGCAGAGCAGCTAGTGGAGCATCTCGACCACACTGATGCATTACATCCCTGCCAGTTTGGTTTCAGGAAAGGATACTCCACAGAGTCCGCGTGTTGCTACCTACTAGAGGACATCAAATCCAGTCTTGATGTTGGTGGTGTGGTAGGGGCAGTCTTTCTGGACTTGAGAAAAGCCTTTGATACAGTTAATCACCAGCTTCTCATCGGCAAACTATCTAATTTTTCTCTTGACAAAAATACAATAGCATGGATTCAATCTTACCTTAATGACAGACAACAATGTGTTGCAGTCGACAATAGAAAATCACCCTTAAAACCTTGCAGCATGGGAGTGCCACATGGTTCCATTCTGGGCCCCCTGCTGTTTACACTATACATAAATGATCTGCCAACTGTCTCTAAGAGTAAAATTATTATGTATGCTGATGACACGGTGCTATATGCACATGGCAAAACTGCGGAAGAAGTTGCTCTAAAACTGACTAATGAGATGAAGAAAGTTTCTCTGTGGCTGAAAAACTCATGCCTTACTTTAAATTTAGATAAGACTGTTTCAATGTTTTTTACAAATCGTCATAAAATACAAAATTGCCCTGAGATTTTAATTGATGGACAAATCATTACAAATTCAGAGCAGGTAAAATATTTAGGTGTCATATTGGAACCAAATTTAGGCTTTAAAAAGCACATAAAAAAGTTATCAAATACAATAAAATTTAATATGGCACAGTTCAGATACATTCGAAATTCCCTTACAATCGAGGCCTCAGGAGCCTATCTAAATGCAATGATTGTTCCACATTTTCTTTATTGTATGACAAGTTGGTCACAGGCTTGTAAATCTGCCCTCAGGCCACTTAAGTCATTATATAAAACGTCTCTAAAGATACATGATAAAAAAGGCAGACGATTCCATCACTGAAATATCCTTGTAAAATACAAATTACTTAGCTTTGAAAATTTGATAAATCATAACAATCTGTGTCTGATGTATAAGATCCTCCATGACACCGCTGCTCCTCCACTAAAAACGTTCATCTCTTTGGGCTCTGAAACAACAACTCGAGCCACTAGATCTACAGTGCGAGGCGAATGTAGGATACCAAAGCGAAAGACAGCATTTGGAAACTCTGCTTTTTCTTGTGTGGCCGCTCGTCAGTGGAATATGCTGCCTACAGAGCTGATAACAAGCACAAACTTTTACACATTCTCACGCCTGGCAAAGAAATGGCTCCTGTCAAATCAATCTTGCATCCACATGTAACTGGATGTATGTCTGTATGTGTGTTCTGAGGTCTAAAAGAGTAGACCTGAGTAAATGAAAGGTGTGTATAAGAGTTTGTATCTGATTGTTGTGCATGTGAAGATTTGCTTTTACTATTATGAACTTGATCAATGTAAATGCCATTATCCATGTGTGCATGATGTTTTTATGTTTTTTACTATAACACCAGCCTGCCCAGGGACTACGGGTGGAAATTAGCTCTTGAGCTATAACTTGGTACAATGCATCTCTCCCCTTGGGGTTAATGTTTATTGTACACTGTCCCTGTTTCTCTAAATAAAGAAAATTTAAAAAAAAAAAAAAAAATTAAAAAACTTTTTCAAACGGAGCCAAATAGTCCATTAATGACTTTACTTTCCCAGCCCGAAAGCTAAGCCCTGGGTTTAAGTGGCGTTCGCTGATGGGAGACCACAAAGTCTTAACACTCAGACTCACAGAATCCTCACACAACACGGACTTCCACAGTTTCTCCTCAAAGCAACGGAATTCTGAGACATTCCGGAAAAAATGTTTCGTTAAATGTTATACAATTTATAAGGTCTTTACTTTTAGTACAAAAGTGGAGTGATTAATAATAACGTGTTCAAAACTAAAAGTCGAATTCTACTGTTTGTTTCTGAGATAAAGCTGTGATACCTGGGTGAGAGTCAGGTGGTCCTTCAATACAATACAACCTTTCTGTAAACAATACAACACAACCTTTCTGTAAACAATACAATACAACCTTTCTGTAAACAATACAACACAACCTTTCTGTAAACAATACAATACAACCTTTCTGTAAACAATACAACACAACCTTTCTGTAAACAATACAACACAACCTTTCTGTAAACAATACAACACAACCTTTCTGTAAACAATACAACACAACCTTTCTGTAAACAATACAATACAACCTTTCTGTAAACAATACAATACAACCTTTCTGTAAACAATACAACACAACCTTTCTGTAAACAATACAACACAACCTTTCTGTAAACAATACAATACAACCTTTCTGTAAACAATACAACACAACCTTTCTGTAAACAATACAATACAACCTTTCTGTAAACAATACAATACAACCTTTCTGTAAACAATACAACACAACCTTTCTGTAAACAATACAACACAACCTTTCTGTAAACAATACAATACAACCTTTCTGTAAACAATACAACACAACCTTTCTGTAAACAATACAACACAACCTTTCTGTAAACAATACAATACAACCTTTCTGTAAACAATACAACACAACCTTTCTGTAAACAATACAACACAACCTTTCTGTAAACAATACAACACAACCTTTCTGTAAACAATACAACACAACCTTTCTGTAAACAATACAATACAACCTTTCTGTAAACAATACAACACAACCTTTCTGTAAACAATACAACACAACCTTTCTGTAAACAATACAATACAACCTTTCTGTAAACAATACAACACAACCTTTCTGTAAACAATACAATACAACCTTTCTGTAAACAATACAACACAACCTTTCTGTAAACAATACAACACAACCTTTCTGTAAACAATACATCCAGCCACATAATTATTAAAATGATAACAACACCACCGAGCACAAACACGAGGACAAAGCTGCATTTTGTTGTTGATTTCATGATTCCAAAGACACAGAAAACTGTTCTGGTGTGTGTCGGCTTGTCTATGAG